CAGCAGCCAGCAGCCAGCAGCCAGCAGCCAACAGCCGTGAGCCACTTTCAATCCTCCGTCACGCTGCTATGCTCGGATGGCCATGCTGGTCAGTCGACACAAAGGCGAGAGCGCACACACAAAGGGCAAGCCAAGCCAAGCTCAAGCTCCCACGGTCCCCTCGACCTGCTCCATCCTCGGGCGACGAGCCTAAAATCGCACGCGCGAGCCGGGCGTCTCCATCGGCTTGCCTCCGTGAAGGGCCGCATCAGCTCCGTGTGTTGCCACCGAGTTCAAGCAGTAGTGAGCCAACTCGTTTGGCGGTGGACGGTCGGCCAGGTCACTCTGCCGGCACCCTCTCGCCAGCGCGATCCTGAGGAGAGCTCTGTCATCACTTGCATCAATCCACGAGGCTCCTGAGCAGTGTGAATTTTTGGAGGTGCAGATCAAGCGCATGCGAGCTTGCTCCGGTTTCAATTCTTCCAAATCTGCCAAAAAAAAAAAGTTGGCCTGTCATTGGCGAATGAAGCCGTGACCGAGTTGCGCGTGCATGCACCTCACCCAGGTTCTCTGCGGCTCACAAGCTCGCGCTGCATGGCCGATGTCTCTGAAATCCGCCGCCTCTGTCCAAGTGCCCGTGCTGCGCTTTCGCCTCACACCAACAGGCATTCTGGCAGGGATGGCTCGGCTCAGCCGTGGCTTCCCTTCGACCGTGTGCCCCCTGGGCTGGGCCGTGAATTGCGCAGCTTTACCTCAGGCTCGCGCGCGCGCTCAGTCTCGCTCGCCTTTGACCCTGAGCTGTTTCAGCGCATCTGACACTCGCCTCGAGCTGGGCATTCCAACCGTGAGCGCAATCCAGCCGTTCTTCTCAGCTCGCCTCTGCTGTGGTGCCTGTGCCCGGCGTCGTTCTCTGGGCGGCGTGATTCTTCCAGAGCCACCGACACTGTTGCGCTATGCTGCGCTCGCTGCCGCCGCCCAACGTACCTCATCTCGCTGCGGCTCGGTCGACCCAGCCAGCCAGCCAGCCAGCCCACACACCCAATAGACCCACCCGCCCTCCTACATACGCATAGCATCCACCTCTCTCGCCCGCCTCCCGTCCCTATCCCTCCTGCACCTCGCACCTACCCACCTCACTCTATTCTACCTCTACTCTACCCTACTTTCCCAAAAGGCACATTGCAGCCCCTGCTCGCAGCCAAACAGCACACGCTGATTGCCACTCTCCGCGCACCTGACCACTCAGCGACCCGCAATCCCCAAAAGCTCCCGTCAAGGAAGCATCTCCATTGATCCATATTATCCCCCCCTCCCTGCCATCCTCTCCAACGTCACCCATCCCCACAACCCCTCCTCCTCTCTACGTTCACACCACATCATCTTCCTATTATCACCCTACCCTATCATCCGCCTGTCTCGAATCTGTGCTTCTACCTGATTCCTGCACTGGCTCAACCCTGCATACCGCACCGACCCACATTGCCACGCAACGTTGTGTGTCGACCCCCATCATCTCTCGCAGCTCCCATCCCGATCCACGGTGATCTCCGGAGCTAGCACACACCCTCACCACTTGCAAACGTCCGCATAAGCCCTCGCTATCACCATGCAGGCACCCATCCCCATCGCACAGGCCCCTGGCCGCCTCGACTCATACAGCTTCCAGCGCCCTGGAGGCCTCACACCGCGCGCTTCGTCCAGCTTTGTTGGCAGCGCAAGCTACAGGGAGCCCATGGCCGTCTCCTTTGGCAAGGATGTCTCCGAGTAAGTATCAGTCTCGTCGCCACCGCGCCATCGCGCCTCTCGCCTCACCCCACCCGCTCTTTCGTCGAACAAAAGTCTGACGTCTGCTATGACACCTCGACCACCTCTCAAACCTCTCAGAATCATGGATTACTCGATCTCCAAGTTCGGAACGTCGACCGAGTCGGACGTCACCGTCGCACCCTCGTCGGTGCGTCTCGAGTCCACCTTCTGCCGCAACTTCACCTGCTGTGGCCAGAAGCTCGACGACCTCCACGACCTTCTGCAGCACTACGAGGAATGCCACGTTCGCTTCGAGGACGACGACATGCCTGCCATGATCGCCGACGACGAGGTCGAGTCTTCCGACTCGTCCACCGCCTCGACTTCGCAGCCGTCCAGCCCGCGTACCTCCAACGCCGGCTCCACCTCGGCAGCCGCCACCGCCGCTACCGCCACATCCTCCGTCGCCGCCACCGACTCGAATGCCACCACTCCCACAGGCCTCGATGACACGGACAAGGCTTCGGCCTTCGACACTGCGGTCATGCGATCGCCGTCGCTCCCCAAGGGCAAGAAGCGGTCGTTCGGTCAGTATGCCAATGCATCGTCGGCCAACCCCAACGGCGCTATCCACCAGTCCTTGAGAAGGGCGCTCATCGACGGCGGCGTCGGTCGCAGGACGCCTGGCTCGCCCAACATCTATGCCCCCAACTCTCCCTTCTCCACACCGGGCAGCTCCATCCCAGGCACGCCTTGCCTCGACTCGGAGAACGACGGCTTCTTCACCAACGGCCTCAACCCTGCAGCCTTCTCGGCGCTCTCGATCCGATCCAGCAACGCCGACGAGCACCATCTCCCCTCGTGCGCTCCGCCAAATCTCTTCTTTCCGGCTTCCGGCACCGCATCCTCGTCGTCGGCATCCTCGTCGCAGCCACCTGCCAAGCGTGAGAAGACGAGCGCCGTGTCCAACGCTTCCACCATCGCCCTCGAGAACGCGCTCCGCGCCGGCGCCGCCAACATAGACAAGCCCTACAAGTGCCCCGCGCCAGGGTGCGACAAGGCTTACAAGCAGATGAACGGCCTCAAGTACCACCGGCTACACGGCCACTGCAACCAGAACAACCTGCCCATCACTGCTCAGGCGGCGGCGCAACCGCCGACCATCCACATCACCACCAACTCGACCAAGACCTCGCCGCAGCCCGAGTCGGGCGACGGTGTCAAGGGCGAGGATGGTGCCGTCGGCTCGTCGACCGGCTCGCCAACATCGCCAGGCGGCAGCTCCAACGCGTCTCCCGACCCGGCGAGCCCGGCAACGCAGGCGCCGATCGCGCTCGGCGACCGCCTCTACATTTGCCAGGTCGGTGCGTGTGGCAAGCGCTACAAGAACCTCAACGGCTTGCGATACCACTACCTGCACTCGGGCTCGCATGGTCTGCTCGGCCTGCAGCTTCTGCAGTCGGGTGGCGGTGCGAGCGCCAAGGTGGACGCCACCGGCCGTGCTCCCGTCTCGACGAGCACGCTGAGCCAGGAAGAGATCGCCGCGGCTGCCCAGGCCGCCCAGCTGGCGCAGGAGCAGATCCAGGCGCAGGCCGCCAAGAACGCTGCCGCCACTGCTGCCGCTGCCGCCGCCGCTTCGGCTGCCGCTGCGGCACGCAAGGAGGAGAACGAGGCCCGTCAGACGCCCACGCTCTCGACGCCGCCATCTCAGCTGACGCAGGCGCTGCAGCAGCAGCAGCAGCAGCAGCAGCAGC